GGTCGATCTGGAGAGGCAGTGGCCCCTGCACCCCAGGCAGTTCAGCCTCCAGGATGCTGATGAGCAACAGAAGGTATTCAGACACCAAAGACTGAACAAGGGGGGAAAGGATGGGGGGAAGAATATGAGGGCAGCTGCAGGAAGCCATCAAAATTACTAACCTGTGAAATGTGTTTCTTGCCAGCTGTAGTAGCAGGGGTCATAGTGTGTTTCAGTTTTGGTCTCAAGAGCCCCCGTGGAAACAAGGCGATTAGAATAATAGTCTCACAACATAAAACACTGGGATTCTGTTAAGGGGATTATGGGGGATTCTGTTCATCTATGGCGATCAGACAGTTGCCCAAAGGAGAAAATTTTGCAGCAGATGATTCTGGAGTGGATCCAGAGGATTAGAAAGGCAGAGGAGGATAGTAGGGTTTTCAGGTGCTCTATTTTAGTGAGTATTGCCTGATAACAAAAAATAAATAAATAAAGGCCACCTTGGCCTTTGTCATAGAATATATAGCTGTTTTGGATGACCTTGAGATAATCAGGGCTGTCTATCAATTGCTTGAGATAAAGACATTACTGCAGGAGCTTTTGTGGTGTGAAACCTTTCCAATACTGATCTAATGCAGTGTTCCCCAAGATGTGCCTTCCAGATGTTTTCATCATCCTTACTGTGGCAGTTTGGGGAAGGCTGGATTTTTAAGAGCACTGGCTTGGGAAGTCTAGGTTAACATAACTGCACAGAGTTGGGCAGCTTATACATTTAATCAAATGTTATTACCATTATTATTTTAAACATATAGGGGTTGGATAGTTTATGGCTAATCATTTTGTAGGATCCTTTTCTTTGTTTTGCAACTTGCATGAAGAAAGTCACCACATTCAGACATAATATGGTTCAGTTGTCTGGGCATAATAACTTATATGAACACTAGTACACCCTTTCCTCATTAATGATGTAATCCCTTCCTTAAGTCTGAAGTGAAACGGTCACTAAGCAAACTTGTGCCTGAGAGAGGGAGGCAGAGAGAGGGAGAGAAACATTGCAAAGATTGCTGGTTTTTGCAGTTTCATTCAGATAAAGTTCTTTCGTGCAGCAATGCTCACTCCGTTGTGTGTTGTTGGCAGACGGAGAAATTTGGTCGTAAGTCTGCGCATTGGTTGGAAAATGAATTTTTTTCCAATGTTTATTACCGTCATGTTTGCGAACAGTCGCTAATTGAGTTAGCCGCAAAAGGAGGAGCGGCTGTATTGTGGCTTGTGAAACCAGGGTTCGGCTTATGTTGTGAGAAGCCGGCCAAAGGTTTGTAAGCAAGAAAGTGATCTGCTGCCTCTGCACTAAAAAGCCCAGCATGAGGTACAGCCACTCCTTATTCAGCAACTACCTCAGTTAGCAACCACTCGCAAATACAGCAGTAATGAAAAATTAATTTTGCATCCATTGTGTGCATTTACAACTTTTGCATCTCTTTCTCAGTCACATGTTTGCTATTACAGTTAGTATCGCGTATAACCTGCTCTTATTTTCACTTGCTTATTTACTTGTTTACACACATTTATATCCCATATCAAGATGTCTTCAAAGAGAAAGAACCCCAGTTCAGCTGAAGGAGGTAGAAAGAAGCAAAGGAGGGTCATCAGTCTCAATTTGAAGATGAAGATCATCAAAGCGTACGAGGCTGGGAAGAAGATGATTAAAATAGCGCAAGAAGAAGGCCTGGCCCGTTCCACCATTTCTGCTATTTTGAAGGATAAGGCAAGGATCAGAGAGGCAGTGAAAGGATCAGCAGGAATGAACGCATGTATAATAAGACAGCGAAAAGGCCTCATCCACGAAATG